CTCAACTCCGTCGCCGTGTTCATCGTTGTGGAGAACTGTCTTTCGTTCGCGCTCTTGAACTGCGACTCCGCGCCCATCGCTGTGAACGCGACGAACACCACTACCCAATGCCAACACCTCCTTCGCCACTACTTCGCGATCTCGCCGCCAGTCGTGCTGCTGGCGCTGTCGTCGCTGCTCTTTTTGGGCGCCATTTCCAAAACGCTTCTCATGTTCTGCTATTTGCTGACCATCGCCGCCGTCCACCACTTCCTCCACTCCGCCCTCTCCGTCCACGTCCAGCTCTTCTGCGCCTCTCTCGTGCTGTGCTTCCTGTGCCGCGACCGCCGCCTCGAGCGCGCCGCCCGCTCGCACTTCCTGTGGCGGTCGCGCCTGCGCGTGGAGCAGCACGACGTGGAGCTGTTGGGCGGCATCAACAAGATCCTCTTGGAGAACATTCTGCCGCAACACGTGGCCAAACACTTCATGCTCTCCTCCCCCACCCTCTACCACGAGCGGTCAGTCAGTGGTCACCATAGTATTAGTAGTAAAACCGTTTCCATAGTTACGCGTCGGTGGGCGTGATGTTCGCCTCGATTCCCAACTTCAAGGAGTTCTACGACGAGAATGACGTCAACAAACAAGGTTTGCAAACAAGAGCCGCAATTCCCGAATAACACGCGATGTTATAGGTTTGGAATGTTTGCGACTTTTGAACGAAATTATCTGCGATTTCGACAAAATCCTCCAAAAGCCCAAATTCTCGCGCATCGAGAAGATCAAGACCATCGGCAGCACTTACATGACGGCCGCGGGTCTCACGCCCGGCGCCGACCAGTCGAAGCAGTCGAAACACCCGGTGGTGGCGCTCGTGGAGTTGGCGCTCGCTTTGGACGCCGTTTTGCACCAAATCAACAAAGAGTCGTTCCAGAGGTTCAAACTGCGCGTCGGAAGTAAGCGCGCCCTCTAGTGGTCATTCCCGGCACTAATTGTGTATTTGCAGTCAACCATGGTCCGGTCATCGCGGGCGTCGTCGGCGCGCACAAACCGCAGTACGACATCTGGGGGTGAGCACTAACCTGTGTCTATGTCTACTAACGCCGCGTTTCCATAGCAACACGGTGAACGTGGCCTCGCGCATGGACAGCACGGGCCAGATGGGCCGCGTGCACGTGTCGCGCGACACGGCGCTGGTCTTAATAGAGGAGGGCTTTCGGTGCGAGTCGCGCGGCGAGATAATGGTGAAGGGAAAGGGCGTTTTGGAGACGTTTTTCGTCGAGAAATAAAAATACTTTTTTATTGCTTATTGCTATCGTTTGCGCGAGTTTTGCGGACTCGCCTTCAGCTGTTTGTCGCGCTTCCGCTGCTCTTCGAGTCCGGCGGCGATGTAGGAGAAGACGCAGAGCACGGCGTAACAGATCTGGTCCGACATCTGGCTCTTGTAGCGCCGCTGCAGCACTTGGCGCGTCTTCGGGTCTGAAAGCAATCAAAGGTCATTGGCATCGAGAGGTCATTGACCGATCACTCACTGAACTCCTCGAGCACGAAGACGCCGCCCTTCTGCGTGAAACACTTGCGGATGTTCTCGAGGCGCACGAAGAACTGCGGGAGAGAGAGAGAGTGAGTTTGTTGGCAGCGGGCGGAGACGCGGGTCGCTATGACTACGGCTGCCAACACACAATGCATAGAAACTACTGCTACAAGGGTTTACCTCAAAGTCCTGGAAATCCCGAAACAGACAGAAAGAGAGAGAGAAAGCGTTAGACGACCCCAGCCTCCGCGCATGAGCACAACAACAGAGCCTACCTTGGAGTTGGCGAAGAGGAGGCCCACGCCCTCCATGCACACCTGCAACAGCCCGCCCTCGCCCGACCGCAAGTCCTGCACCGGGAACTCGCCGCCCAGCTCCGTGCCTGCGGGAGAAAACGGGGGTCAGTGGTCAGTGACAGAGCGAAAGCAACGCACCGGGGAGCGGCCCCTGGCCCTTCTGCACCGCGCGCTCCATCGCCTCCTTGATGCAGTAGTACAGCTCCTTGCACTTGCGCGTGAAGTACTTGTGCAGTTGCGTCTGGCCGCCGTTGCGGCGCCACAGACACAGCACGCGGTTCTTGGGCGAGTACGTCATGTTGACGAGGCGCTCGAACCACCAGCGCTCCACGATGGTGCCGTTGATGGAGCGCAGGATGAGGCCGTCGTCGCGCACCTCCAGGAACATCATGTCGCCCGAGGCGTCTGTGCCCACGTGCACAGAGAAGGTCTGGCGCCGGATCTGGCGCGAGGTCAGGGGCTTGAGGTCGATGTCGTTGGCGCGCAAGTGGTCGATCTGGTCCAACACTTCGTTCACTTCGGCCGAGTACAGGAGCCCGATGTGGCACTTGCCCAGCAGGCGGCGGATCTTGCGCCGAATCTCCGTCCGATTGACGTCCACCATGATCATGAAGGCCGTGCAGTTGTAGAGGAAAGTGGCCAGCAGCCGATCCTCCTCGTGCTCCAACCGCTTTCTGTCCATCTCTTGCAGCGATCGATACCTTTCCAGCATTTCGCCCGGACCTACACCAACACAGTGTTAGCGTTGCCATGGAGACACACACACACTGACCTTGGTCCATGCCGATGAGGTCGCGCTCCTGCGACACGGCGTCGAGGAAGGCGTCTTCCCAGAACTGCATTTCGTCCCATAAGTGCGATCTCTCCTTCCCTGCAATCAAACAGCTGTCAATCAAAGTCACGTGACTCCGCTCTTACCGATTATGCCCTCGAAGAGGTAGACGCGCGGCGCGTCGGCCGGCAGTCCCGTGGATCCGATGAGAGCGCCGCCGTGATAGCGGAAACCCGTGGAGATGGACGACTTGGAGGACCAGACGCTCGGAGTGCGCGACTGCCGTCCCTGCAGACCCTGCGGCGAAACACGTGACAATTAATGAGAAACACGTGATCAATCAATACCTGAATCTCGGAGTCGGAGAAGTTGGCCTTGTTGGCGAGCGCGCGTGCGCTGTACGCCGGGTTCACTGTGAGGGAGCCGGCCTCCGACGCCTGCGCAGACGGAGACACGTCCGACACCTCGGACTCCATCGACGGCACTCTCACCACAGATGACCGCTCGGCCACAGGCGTGTCGGCGGGAGTGTCCAGGTTGTCACGTGACCCGAACGGCGACGACCCCTGCGAGCACGTGTCGGCGCGTGCGCTGTCGTCCACCTCTTTGGCCCAGTAGTGCGTGTGCGCGATCTCCAATATGGGAAGTGCCGAGGCCATGCCGCCGCCGCCCTGGTCGCAGTACGAGCGCTCCAACCCCGCGATCATGGCGCTGACCAGTTTGGCCATTCCCTTCCACACGGCGCGCGACACCTGCACGTCGTCGATGTGGTCGTCGGGCGACACCTTCCGCTCCAGCGTCTTGTTGATGCGCGACACCACCAGCGCCCGATAGCTCTCGTCCTCCATGAGTTTGCGCACGCGCGACAGCCGCAGCCACCCCACGCCCTCGCCCTCCAGCACCGCAGCGATCGTCTCCTTCAGGAACGCCTGGTTCTCCTGATGGGAGTTCGGCTTGTGGTCGCCAGAGGGCGCTTTGGGCGCCGCGCTCTTCTGATTGGTGGAGTGGCGGATGAGCGACGACTTCTCCACCAATCCGGTCCTGCCTTTGGGAAAGGGGCCGAACGGTTGCGGCGCTTTCGCCTTATTGCTGCCGAAGAGTCCGCTAAACATTCCCGCCGTTCTGTCGGCCAAACCGTTGAAGTCGGAAGACATGGAAGACATGAGCGAAGAGTCGGAAGAGGCCGCGTCTGCGCCGTCGCGCGAGGAGCGCCAGTCCTTCATGGGCTCGCTGATGGCCTGGAGGTTGGCCAGGAACTTCTTCTTGCCGGCCACGGCCGCCGGTTTGGCCACCTCTTTGGCCACGGCTTTGGCCTCTCGCGCCACTTCCTTCGCTTCGGAGGCGAAGCGGTCGAGAAAGGCGAACCCCGAGACGGAGTCCCTGTGCTGCGACTGCGAGCGCGAGAACACCGACGATATGGAAATGGCGCGCGAGAGCGTCGGCGTCGACGTCCCGGACGACGAGTGCGGCGACTGCGGGCGCTCCGACGCGCGCGGAGTCGAACTCCTGCTGTGATCCGACTCGACGGACTCCAGAGGTGAACGACCTGTGAATGGAGAGTGAGTTAGAGGTGAGGAGAGGTCACGAAATCGCACCTGATATGAGTTTAGGGGATATTTGTGGCGCGAGTTTGTCCGCATTGTCGCCCAAAACCATGTTTTTGAACTCTGTTTCGCAGTCTTCGCCGCCAGAGGACGCGTTCGAAGTCGACGACGCGGAGCGCGTGGGCGAGGAAGAGGCGGACCCGTGAGACGACGCGCGTCGTGTTGGCGTCGCTTTGGCGTCGTCGTCGTCGCGGTTTTGCGTCAATTGCAAAGTGTCCGGCGGTTTGAACACAGATCTGACGTCATTAATGGTCGCCACACATGACGAGTCGTATAAGGCTTCTGCAATGCAAACCGGTTAATGGTGGGCCGGAGGGGCGGGAGGGGCGGGGTCAGGGCACTCACTCTGGTATTCGATCCCGTGGTCAGGCGGTTGATCCATGAGTTCGGAGAGCGACGACATGGAGGACGACGTGCTGACGTCGGAGTCGTCGCTCTCGTCGTCGCAGTCGTCGTCCGAGGAGTCGGCGGCGTCGACGGCGCGGAAGAGTTGCGCCATCTGTTGGTTTGCATTGTTCCACACTTTGACGGAGATCGCGTCCAACTGGTGGCCGAACCACTTGTGCTTATCGCCGATGACCGTCGGGTCGAAGACACCGGTCTGGACGCGAATGAAGGCCACGTTTGTCGGACAGAGCGACCACTCGGCCAGAAACTCGACCGCTTGTGTTCGCACGAATTTGTTGACGTAGAGCGACGCCTTCGGCCGCGACGACACGAACGCGTTCACCTGGAAGGCGACCACTGGCCGCGGGAACAGCCGGATGGTGCGCGTGAACTCGCCGAAGTTGGACAGCAGGTTGGCGCTGTTGAAGAAGCGCACCATGGCCACGCGCGTCGCCACGTCCACGCAGTCGATGTCGTTGCCGTAGATGAGAGGGTTGAAGGCGGAGGCGCCAGAGGTCGCGGCGGTCGCGCGCGGCTCCAGACGCTCGAGCGACTGCATCTGCGGCGCGAGCGACATGGAGGCCAGCGCCTGCTTCAAGTGGTTCTTCAGCACCGTGGCCTCGGGCTCGGGCAGCGGCGGCAGGTCTTCGACGGCGGGCGGCTTGAGGACGCGGTTGGAGTCGAGGTCGACGAGCCACACGTCGTCCGGGAGTCGGAAGCGGCGCTTGAAGGCCAGGAAAGAGGCGGGCACGCCGATGATGAAGGGCGTGGGCGCGAGCAACAGCTGTTCGGCCGAAGACATGCACGTGGGCAATAATGGGATGACGGGGAACATGTACTCGAGCGGATAGATCATGGTGACGAACGCCATCACGCTCATCGAGAGGGCGTTGTAGTCGCGCGACTGCAGCAGCAGTTTGTGCTCCAGCAGAATGACGGTCAGTACTTTGAGACACGTGTCCACTCCCAGCAGTTCCAGCGGAAGGTGGAGCGGGAAGTCGACGAGCGAGAAGCGCGTGTGGTCGGGCAGCGCCAACAGCAGCGGCGCGCGCATCTCGCGGGACACGACCTCCAGCTGGACAGAGAGGGGTGTTAGTGGTCAGTGGTATTGAGAGAGAGACTGACCTCGAGCTTGGTCTTGCCGGGAACGGGAACGGGACAGGACAGCAGCTTCAAACACCAAGTTTCTACTTCGCGGAAATCGAGAATCACTTGCGGCGCGAAGGATGTGTCGCCAGGAGTGACGCGCGTCGTCAGCAACTGCCAGATCGGGTCTCTGTGTGTTAGAGTGTCAGAGAGAAGTCGGGTCACGTGACGCACTCACCGCTTGTGGCGTCGGTCGAGGTTCGAGTGCTGAAAGGCGAGAACCATGCGTTTGAGGACTTGAAGGCATTCGCGGAACGACGAGAAGAACGGGTGATGAGAGATGATGCAGAAGGAGACCAGAGAAAGGCATTTGTGGCACTTCCGCTCCTCAGCGGCCGCCGGGGCCGTCCGCCGCGCGACCGTGCGGTAGAAGTTGACGCAAATGCCGTATCTGGAAGAGCACAGGGTTAGAGAGGGAGAGCACTGGCAGTAATACCTGACGCGCGACGTGTCCTTCTCTGTGAGCGCGAAGACGAAGGAATTGGTGTCGCGTTGAGAGGTTCGCCGATAGGAAGCGCTGACACAGCCCTCGGGCTGACAGAAGAACACGACGTCCGGCGGGAGCGCGAAGTCCGAGTGGTCTTCGGGCGGATATCGTCGCAACAGTTCCGGCATTTGCAGCGAATGCGAGTCTGCGCTCGACTGACGACTGCCGACAACACATATGTAGTCAAGAAGTCGTGGACTAAAGTATTTCTTCACGCAATCCGACATCAAACTGTCGTTTCTGGCATTGCTTGCGATTTGATCCCAAAATCACTTCATTTCGAGTCAAAAATCGTTAAATCAATGACTGATCACATGATCGCTGACGAAACCAATCGATATTTTCACACATTTATTACAACTATAAATATTCGGCTCAAAAACACGCTTTTCTTCGCTTTTTTGGCACAAATTTCTCGCAATTTTCTGCAATTTATCCGAAATTCAAATCTTTATTCAATTCTTAATTCGTTTTCTTTTCTTAAATTCAAATCTTTTCTCAAAACTTTGATTCTTATCTCAAAACTCGTGACGTATTTATTGGACAACCCTTTTCATTGATCTGACGAGTATTGCGACCGAATTGTGGGCCCTTTTCCCACCACATCTATCACACAATCATTGCGTTAAAAGGGACCGAATGCTCGCTTCGCAACATCCACTCGTTTTAGGCATTTATTGATTTTCCAGTCGACGCCCAACACTTGTAGACGTTTGCGATAGAAAAGCACGCAAATCGTCCACAACTTCGGCGCTGTATAAGTATTTCTCACACATCGTGTCAACACGTGTCCCGAAATGTCATCGATTCCCACATTCATCGACATCTCCGAAACGGAACAGGTTTTGCCTCTCAATCCTTCATTAATCCTCTCTAACCCTAACCTCTGCCCTCCAGTGCGAAGAACTGCGCGAATACCTGTCGTCTTTGGGCGCCGCGATCGCCGACAGCGAGGGTTTTGTTCCCGATTTGCGGGAAATAATCTCCGTTTGCGATGTCGTCCTTCGCGACGACGTGAAGGACGCCGACGTGGAGGCGGTGCTCAACTCCATCGTCTCGCTCCTGATTGGTTCTGTGCCGCCGCCGGAGTCGCTCTCATTGGTCGTCGCGTTTTGCGACCAAATGCTGAAAGCGAAGCAAAAGCAGGCGTTGGTTTGCGTCCGCGTCCTCAAGAACCTGTTCGGCGGCCTCCAGGACGTGACCGAACCGCGATTCCGTGTCTACGTGACGCTCGTGCGCTTGGCCTCCATCTCTGGCCAAATAGCGCTCGTCTTCTCGGACCTCGCGCTCATCAAGCAGTGGTTCCCGCCGGCGGTGGTCGGCGTGGAGCGCGTGCAGGCGCTGCTCCGACTCCTGCACGAGGCGCTCGTCGCGCAGAAGCAGTCGGAGTCGGCGTCACGTGTGCTCATCGAACTGCTGTCCACCTATACGGAGGAGAATGCGAGTCAAGCGCGCGACGACGCGCACCGCTGCATCGTGTGGCATTTGGGCGACAAGAACACGTTCCTGTTGGACCACTTGCTCGCGCTCAAACCCGTCAAGTTCTTGGAGGGCGAGCCCATCCACGACCTGCTCACCATCTTCGTGGCCGAGAAGCTCGCGGCGTACGTCAAGTTCTACAACAATGGCCGCGATTTCGTCGAGTCGCTGGGATTGTCTCACGAGCAGAATCTGCAGAAGATGCGATTGTTGACCTTCATGCAGATCGCCGAGCAGAAGAAGGAGATCCCGTTCGACGCCATCCAACAGGAGCTCCAACTCAACGTCGATCAGGTCGAGGCCTTCGTCATCGACGGCAAGTGTCACGTGACCATTAACTTAACCATGTCTAACACTGCCCTCTTTGCCCGCAGTTCTGCGCACGCGTCTCGTGAAGGCCAAAGTGGATCAGCTGACCAAACGCGTGCTCGTGTCCTCAACAATGCACCGCACGTTCGGTCGCCAACAATGGCAACAACTGCGCGACACTCTCCACAAGTGGTCGACGAACTTAGCGCACGTGCAAAACACGGTTCAAACCGTCGCGTGATTTATTGTTCTTTCCAACATTAAAACCCAATTTCCGTTTTCGTAATAATTGTCCAAAACGCGCGCATTCCGCACCTCACGCGCCAACTCCTCCAACTCGTGCTCCGCGAACACGTGGTAATAGCGCAGCTGTTCTTCGCTCCCGAACGGCACCAAAACCTCTTGCGACGCGAACGCCGTTCTCTGCGCGTGAATCCCGAGAACCCTTCCGTCGACGCAAACGCTTCTCTTCTCCTTCTTCGTCTCCTCCTCTTCGGGTCTCTCCTTCTTCAGGTATTTGGCGTTCTGTCCGTCGCGCGACTGTTCCAACGCCCAGACGTAGATCTGAACGCAAAACACGTGAAACTCGATTCAAATTCGGCGCCAATTCTCACCAAAACCTTTCCCCCGACGCGAACGCAATCCACAATCGCCTGAAGAGCTCGCAATCGGCGCTCACGTGACGACAAGTGGTGCAGAACCGCCACACAGAGCGCCGCGTCGAAGAGTTGCGCGCGAAACACGTGACACGTCTGCAGAATGTCTGCCGAAACCGTTTCGAACCCTCGTTCGCCGCAAATGGCCAGAAGAGCGGCGCTGCGGTCGCAGCCGATGGTCACGTGACGCGAGTGGCCGCCAATCGGAGACAAATACTTGCCATTTCCGCACCCGATGTCCACAACGAAACTGTTTTGGGGCAGAGAGTCGAGGAAGCGTTGGACTCGTGGCCACGGCTTGTGGCGCGTGTCGGAGAAGTGGGCGGCGATGGAGTCGTAGACGCGGTGCACGTGTTCCTCCTCGAGACGCGCCGAACCAGACATGAGTGTAAACACTGATCACGTGTTGAGCGATGTTGTGATGTGGGCGCGGGTTTGGGCCCTTTTCCCACCACACGTTGCGGTGTTTGGGTGCGAAAAGGGCCCAAAGGCTGGCACTGACAACAGTTGTGTGACAAGTGATGACGTCATGCGTATGGCATGACTGACGTGACGATCGAATGATTTCATCACAACTTGTCGTTTATTTTTGTCCTCAAGTGATGGCCAATCAGACGGTGAGTCCCGCGATCGGGGCGTGTCTTCGGCGCTCAGTTTCGTCTCTCGTTTCCCAACATTTCATTCATAGCTTTGAATGTGTTTTTGGAATAAATTTCTTGCTTTAATGACAAGTCTTTTCCGCTATATTATAGACACTGCGATGTCGTCAACCAATGCTGACCACAACTCTGACCAATCAGTAGACAGGTTTGTGTCCACTCTCTCTCCCTTTCCGGTCAGCGTTTCCGCTGAGAAAACCCAAAAAGCGGTAAAAATTAGTTTTGAAACGAGTTTTGAGGAAAAAAGTGCAAAATTCGCGAAAAAACATTTTTCGACACTTTTTTCCTCAAACTCTTTGCGAAAAGCGTTTTCTCGCTTCGAGTGACGAATAGTTCGAAAATTCGAGTTATTGTCTCTCATTTGCGACCAATAATCGCCTCAATAGCCGCAGGGCTTCAATCAGAACCAGTTTTGCCCAAAAGCTAAAATGGATTTCAAGTAAACGTCTCGTAATTCATGTCAAAAACTCACTTTTCTCTTCAACAGTTCCTCGAAACCCATCTTCACCATAAACACAGCGCCCGACGCCAACACCACAGACGACAACTGCTCCGACGACGACGACTCGCGCCACCTCTCCATCGAGACCATGGACTCGAAGCGCTTCCACAGACAGAGTCGACAACTGCGACAATCCATGTCTGGGATTCACCTCTCGCTGCAAGACCGCGACCGCCAGGACCTGACGATCGCGACGCCCGAAGAGTTCATCAAACGCTTCAACGGCACGCGCGTCATCAACAAGATCCTGATCGCCAACAACGGCATTGCGGCCGTCAAATGCATGCGCAGTATTCGGCGCTGGAGTTACGAGATCTTCCGCAACGAGCGCGCCATTCGCTTCGTCGTCATGGTTACGCCCGAAGACCTGAAGGCCAACGCGGAGTACATCCGGATGGCCGACCACTACGTGCCGGTCACGGGCGGCGCCAACAACAACAACTACGCCAACGTCGAGCTCATTGTGGACATCGCGAAGCGCATGAGCGTGCAGGCCGTGTGGGCGGGTTGGGGCCACGCCTCCGAGTACCCGAAGCTGCCCGAGCTGTTGGGGAAGGCGGGCATCGCCTTCATGGGACCGCCGCAACAGGCCATGTGGGCGTTGGGCGACAAGATCGCCTCCTCCATCGTGGCGCAGACGGCGAACGTGCCGACGCTGCCCTGGTCGGGCTCGGGACTCGTTTGCGCCGACTGGAAGGACGGCAAGACCTTTAAGATCGCGCCCGACCTCTACCGCAAGGGCTGCGTCCACGACATCTCCGAAGGCCTGATTGCGGCGCAAGAGATCGGCTTTCCGGTCATGATTAAGGCGTCGGAAGGCGGCGGCGGAAAAGGCATTCGCAAGAGCGAGTCGACGGACGACTTCCCGCAAATGTACCGCCAGGTGCAGGCGGAGGTGCCCGGCAGCCCCATCTTCGTCATGAAACTGGCCAAATGCGCGCGACATCTGGAGGTGAGCCGTGGATTGATTGCTTGACCGGTCACTGACCGCTTTCCCCTCAGGTGCAACTGCTGGCCGACCAGTACGGGAACGCCATCTCTCTGTTCGGCAGAGACTGTTCCATTCAGCGCCGCCACCAGAAGATCATCGAAGAGGCGCCGTGCATTGTGGCCGAGGAGGAGACGTTCGCGCAGATGGAGAGGGCAGCCGTGCGTTTGGCCAAAATGGTCGGCTACGTGTCGACCGGAACCGTGGAGTACTTGTACGACCCGAACGAACAGCGCTTCTACTTCCTGGAACTCAACCCGCGCCTCCAAGTGGAGCACCCGTGCACTGAGATGGTGGCCGACGTCAACCTCCCCGCCTGTCAGCTCCAGATCGCGATGGGGTTGCGCTTGAATCGCATGAAAGAGATCCGTCTGCTGTACGGCGAGAACCCGTGGGCCGACGGAGAGATCGACTTCGAGAGGGCGCGCTCCCGACCCTGGGGTCACGTGATCGCCGCCAGAATCACGTCCGAGAATCCGGACGAAGGCTTCAAACCGTCGTCGGGAACCGTTCAGGAACTCAACTTCAGAAGTGAGTCTTTTCTTTTGATTTCTCGCTTTTAGTCTATTTTTAATATTTTTGACACAAATTCGCGATTTTTGACGACTTTTTGTTTGAAATGTGAAAACAATCGATGAATAAAAAGGTCAAAACATTGCGTTGAATGTGAATGCGCTGAGAATGCGATAAAAGTTTTTTGAATTTTAAGAAACTATTTTCCAATTAATTGAAAGCATTTTTGCTTAAAATTTCGAAAAACCATTTTTTGTTTATTTTCAAATTCTAATCTTGGATTTTAATCTCTCATTAGTGAAAACGTTAATTAATTAATGATTCAATTTTTAATTAGTGATTAAATGAATATTTATAACTTTTTATCGCAAATATTAACACAAATCGTCCGAAAGTTAAACTTGTTTTCACTTTTTCAATATTCGTAATGAATTTAAATTTTAAAAATGTGTTGAAATGTCATTGAAAGCGAAAGATTGATTTTTCTATTTTAATTGTCAGCAATTATTGTTGTGAATTCATTAAAACAGCTTTTGTAGCTTTAAATGCCTTTTAAATATTTCCTGCTATAAAGCCCTCAAATAAACCCCTATATATTTTTAGACTGTTTGTGTTTATAAACCTCTTTACGTAAAGTCAAGTGAAAAAGTAAGATTTTAGTAACAATGCAAAAATTCGTTTTTAGAAACCAATATTTCTTAACATAATTCACGCTTTATTCACTAAATTCGCGTTTATTTTGCATTACAAACGAACGCTAGAAATATGCATTGCATTAACATGTGATTATTATAATAGTCTTGGTTTGGGATTTGGTTGATAAAATAGATTAGTTGATAACATAGAGATGATTTTAACATTAAGTCTACGGACAAGGCATTTCGTATTGGTTGATAACACAGAGAGGTTGACAGCACAGGAGTTTGACTCTATTGAGAATTTCTTATTCGTTATTTCTTAGAATACTTTTTGGAATAAATGTTTGACTTTTTAGAACTTTTGACAGTTTTTAGTATTAAATCGTTAAAAATACTTTCATTTACAAATGGATTTCTAATTGCTTAACGATTCACTGATTACAGGCTCGAAGAACGTGTGGGGCTACTTCTCGGTGGGCGCGTCGGGCGGTCTGCACGAGTTCGCCGACTCGCAGTTCGGGCACTGCTTCTCGTGGGGAGAGGACAGAGAGGACGCGCGCGAGAATCTGGTGCTGGCGCTCAAAGAGCTGTCCATCAGAGGCGACTTCAGAATGGCGGTCTGCACGAGTTCGCCGACTCGCAGTTCGGGCACTGCTTCTCGTGGGGAGAGGACAGAGAGGACGCGCGCGAGAATCTGGTGCTGGCGCTCAAAGAGCTGTCCATCAGAGGCGACTTCAGAACGACTGTCGAGTATTTGATAACTCTGTTGGAGACGGAGGACTTCCAGAAGAACGTGATCAACACGGGATGGCTCGACAAACTGATCGCCGAACGCGTGCAGTCGGGCAAACCCAACACTTCTCTCGCCCTCATCTGCGGCTGCATTCATGTCGTGGATTCGCAACAACAGGACAATTGGCAACACTTCCAGCTCTCGCTGCAAAGAGGACAAATACTTCCGGCCAACACTCTGTCAAACACGCAGAACGTGGAACTCATCTACGAAGGCGTCAAATACGTGGTGAACGTGACCAAAGCGGGCAACAGCTCCTACTTCCTCGTCATGAACAACACGTGCAAAGAGGTGGAAGTGCACCGCATGTCCGACTCCGGACTCCTGCTCTCCGTCGACCACTCGTCGCACACCACTTACATGAAGGAAGAAGTGGACAGATATCGCGTGACGATCGGCAACCGAACGTGTGTTTTCGACAAAGAGAACGACCCGACGATTCTGCGCTCTCCGTCCACCGGTTTGTGATATTCTCTTCATTATCTCCTTTACTCACGTGTTGATTGACAGGAAAACTGCTGCAATTCCTGGTGGAGGACGGATCGCACGTGTATTCCGGTCAGGCGTACGCCGAGATCGAGGTGATGAAGATGGTCATGACTTTGACCACTCAGGAGTCGGGCATTGTTCAGCACGTGAAGAGGTCGGGCGCTGTTCTGGAGGCCGGATCTATTCTGGCGCGTCTCGAACTGGACGACCCGACGCGCGTCCATCGCGCAGAACTCTTCACTCTGGGTTTCGACGCGTTGTGCGAAACGGACTCAGGTGAGCGAAAACAGACCAATGAATTGAGATAACAACTCTCTCTGCAGACGTGGTTTCGCACGCGTTGGCGGTCATCGACGGCCACAACAGCAATTCGGAGACCAAACTGAACGTCTCGTTCACGACCGCCAAAAACCACTTGGAGAACATTTTGGCCGGTTTCGGACTTCCCGAACCCTTCTTCAGCCAAAACATGAACCTCTATGTCGAGCAGTTCATGGAATGTCTGCGCGATCCTCGACTTCCGCTTCTCGAGCTCCAAGACATCATTTCGTCGACTTCCGGCAGAATTCCATCTCAAGTGGAAAAATGCATTCGAAAACTAATGAACAACTATTCGAGTATTTATTTCCCGAAAATAACCAAAAATCACTCATTCTCTCTCCTTAGGCAACATAACCGCCATTTTGGCCGCTTTTCCGTCGCAACAAATCGCTTCCGTCATCGACTCCTATGCGGCCACTCTTCAGAAGCGCGCCGACAGAGACGTCTTCTTCCTCAACACTCAGGGAATCGTCCAATTGGTCCAAAGATATCGCAACGGTATTCGCGGGAGAATGCGTTCTTGCGTTCAGGAATTGGTCCGCAATTACATCGAAGTGGAGCAACACTTCCAAAGCGGTCATTACGACAAATGCGTTTCTCAGTTGCGCGAGAAGTTCAAAGAGGAGGGCATGGCGTCCGTCGTGTCGCAGATCTTCTCGCATCTGTCGGTCACCAAAAAGAATCAACTCATCATCAAGGTCAGTTTTTTTGCTTCTGATCCCAACCCTGACCCTTCCTCCCTCTCCGCAGCTGATCGACCACTTGTGCGGACACGAGCCGGGCATCACCGACGAGTTGTCGTCCATTCTGAACGCGCTGACAATCCTGAACAAAGCGGAGAACGCGAAGGTGGCGCTGCGCGCGCGCCAAGTGCTCATATCGGCGCATCAGCCGCCCTTCGCGCTCAGACACAACCAGATGGAGTCCATCTTCTTGTCCGCCATCGACATCTATTCGCACGAATTCGAGCCCAACGTTCTCAACAAACTCATTCTCAGCGAGACTTCCATTTTCGACGTTTTGCACCAATTCTTCTACCACTCCAATGTCGTCGTCCGCAGAGCCGCGCTCGAGGTGTACGTCCGGCGCGCCTACATCTCCTACGAGATGGTGTCTCTGCAGCACTCGGTGCTCGGCTCCCCGGAGCGCCACTCCGTCGAGAGCCTGCACTCGCGGTCGTCGGCCGTCTCGCGCGACGCCTCGATTCCGTGCGCGGTCTACCACTTCATTCTGCCCTCAAGCCATCCGTCGCTCGTCGGCAACAACGCGTCGTCGACGGCCGCGCCCTCTATCGCCGTCATCTCCGAGTCTTCGGACGAGAACCAAATCGTGTCTTTCGGCAACTATCGCATCGGATTGATCGCCGCCTTCAACACCACCGAACAAATGGAGGTTTGCTTTTCACTAATCTATGCTTTTGGGAACTTTTTGTTTTCGAGGTTTCAATTTGAAATTTTTAGTGTAAAGTGAAAAGCATTGCAAATATTGTCATGAATTAAGAATCGATTCGTAAAATGAATTCCTGTGAACATGAATTTGGATTCTATGAACAGATGTTCAGAATTCGTGTTTTTCGTTGACAACATTCTCGGGGAACATGTTTTGTTATTAATTCATTGGATTTAAGCTAATTTAATGTTTTAGTGAATTGCTTATCAATTACAAAGTTTAAATGAACATCTTTGAGAATTTGCTCTTTTTAGCTCTTTTATGTTAGCCCTAAATGTGATACACTTTTTCATAAAATAAAAGATTTGATATTTAGATTTTTCCCGAAAAAAGTGGTCACTGCTGTCAAACCCGAGGCCGTCTGGCCAATTGAAATATACCACAAAACTTCTTACAGTGTACTTTGATTTTATGACAATAATTCCCGGTCGCACTCTTGCACTCTGGGCCAGATTTGAACCTTTGGCACAATTAACTGTAACTTTTAATAATTACTTAAAAAACATAAATCAAAAACCTTCGAAGACTTCAAATACCTGTAATTATAACCCAAAATTGAGCATTTATTACATGATTAAATTGACTGCTATTCCATTAATTAGCAACAAATTCATGTGTCTTTAAATGTTTCATTTAAAGTTTAGTTTAAATTCTAAATTTGACAGCATTTCGAAAAGACAGACATTTAAACACATTTTAATGAAGTGTCAAAATTGTTGAAAAGACAGCTGTCGTCACCGTTTGTGTCAAACTATTTCATTGAAACTTCCAAAACATTTAACTCTTTTTATTCTGCATTTCCCATAATTAATGAAAATTCTCTGATTTCTTCAACTCTTGTCAATATTTGCTTTTAGACGCGTTTCGACGATTTGCTCGATATTTTGAGTCAATCGGAAGAAGAGATCGCAGTCGACAATCAGTGGCAACAAACACAAGGCGGCGATGTCTCCACTTCGCCGCCCAATCGCCAGAGAAGCGGCTCTCTTCTGGTGGCGCGCGAGAGAACGCAATCCATCTCTTTCCAGGCGCTCATCGAAGACGTTGAGCCCATTTATATCGTCAACATTGCCATCAAATCCGACGGATCCGAAGACGCCGTTCTCACCAAACGCTTCCAACAGTTCTGTATGACTCGAAAGGCGGACCTCGAGAAGCACTCGATCCGAAGAGTGACGTTCATTGTGTGCGACAAATACCGTTTCCCGCGATATTTCACGTACAGATTTCGCAGCGGTTACGTCGAGGACACCATTTATCGCCACTTCGATCCGGCGCTCGCTTTCCATCTGGAGATCAATCGTTTGCGAAACTACGACTTGGAGGCGATTCCGACCGCGAGTCAGAAGATGCACCTCTACCTGGGAAAGGCCAAAGTGATGGCTCCGGGACAACAGGTGACTGACTTCCGGTTCTTCGTGCGCACTATTATCCGTCACTCGGATCTCATCACGAAAGAGGCGTCGTATGAGTTCCTGCAAAACGAAGGTTCGTTTCCACTCTTTGTCCATCTGTTGCTAACTTCAGCGTTTCAGGCGAAAGACTTCTTCTGGAAGCGATGGACGAACTGGAGGTCGCTTTCACGCACTCTTTGGGACCGAAGACCGATTGCAATCACATTTTCCTGAACTTTGTGCCGAAGATTCTGATGGACCCCTCGAAGGTACCACATGTACGTTGTGTGAGACAATCGTGTGTTGTCTCCGGTGGCGGGAAACCCTGTCCTCTGTTCCCCTCTCACTCTCTCTCATAACAGATAGCGGAAAACGTGCGAAATATGGTCATGCGTTACGGACCGCGACTCTGGAAACTGCGCGTTCTTCAGGCGGAGATCCGAATGATCATCCGCTCGACGCCCACATCCAAGTGCACGCCTTTCCGCCTGTTGTTGGCCAACGAGTCGGGCTATTACTTGGATATGCATCTCTATAAGGAAGTGCTGGATCCCGTGTCGGGCGCCATGAAGTTCGAGGCGTGGACCGGAACCGGCAAACCGGGACCGCTGCACGACCTGACCATCTCCACGCCTTACATGACGAAAGACTACTTGCAGTTGAAGCGCTTCCAGGCGCAGAGCAACGGCACCACTTATATCTACGACTTTCCCGACATGTTTCAGGCGGCGCTCATCAAACTGTGGGAAGAGTATCTNCCACGCCTTACATGACGAAAGACTACTTGCAGTTGAAGCGCTTCCAGGCGCAGAGCAACGGCACCACTTATATCTACGACTTTCCCGACATGTTTCAGGCGGCGCTCATCAAACTGTGGGAAGAGTATCTGGAGTGCAGACCCGAGATCGAGATGCCGGCGCAAGTGATGCAATGCATGGAACTGGTGATCGACCCGACGAACCCCGCGCGCATGATCGAGATGAAGAGAGTGCACGGCGAGAACGATTGCGGCATGTGCGCCTGGAGAATGACCTTGTTCACGCCCGAGTACCCCGACGGGCGCGACATCGTGGTCATCGGCAACGACATCACGCATTTGTTGGGCGTTTTCGGCCCCAAAGAGGATATGGTGTTCCAGAAGGCCAGCGAAAGGGCGCGCGCGATGGGAGTGCCGCGCATCTACTTGTCGGCCAATTCGGGCGCGCGGATCGGTTTGGCCGAAGAGGTGAAGGGACACTTCCAGGTGGCGTGGTTTGACGAGACCAATCCCGACAAAGGGTTCAAATACTTGTATTTAACGCCCGAACAATACAAACGCGTCTCGGAGTCCGTGAAAGTGGAGCTCATTGTGGAGGATGGAGAGACGCGATACAAGATCACAGACATCATCGGTCAGGGCGAAGGACTCGGCGTCGAGAACCTGAAGTACGCGGGAATGATTGCCGGCGAGTCGTCGCAGGCGTACAATGAGATCGTGACCATAACGATGGTCACGTGTCGCGCCATCGGAATCGGCTCGTATTTGGCGCGTCTGTCGCAGCGCGTGATCCAAATCGACAATTCGCATATCATTCTGACGGGTGCCGGCGCTCTCAACAAACTGCTCGGCCGCGAAGTCTACACTTCCAACAACCAATTGGGTAATCACTCGGTCGCTTGACTCCGCCCACTCACACCCTTCTCTCTGATAGGCGGAATTCAAATCATGTACGCCAATGGCGTGTCCCACTGCACCGCTCAGGACGACCTCGAGGGCGTGTCCACTGTTCTCAAGTGGCTGTCTTACATCCCGTGTCGGCGTTTCTCTCCTCTCCCGATGATCGAGTCTTTGGATCCGATCGACCGCGAGGTTGTCTTCACGCCCACGTCTTCGCCTTACGACCCGCGATGGCTATTGCAGGGCAGAGAGAACCCGCAGGGCGTCTGGGAGGACGGCTTCTTTGATCGCGGCTCGTGGCAGGAGATCCTGTCGGGTTGGGCGCTCACAGTCGTGGCCGGAAGGGCGCGATTGGGCGGAATCCCCGTCGGAGTGATTGCCGTCGAGACGCGAACCATTGAGCTGATCATTCCGGCCGATCCCGCGAATCTCGACTCCGAGACCAAAGTGGTGTCTCAAGCGGGACAGGTCTGGTTCCCCGACTCGGCCTACAAGACGGCGCAAGCCATCGAAGACTTTGCCCGCGAAGACCTGCCGCTCATAATCTTCGCGAATTGGCGCGGATTCTCCGGCGGAATGAAAGACATGTACGACCAGGTCGTCAAATTCGGCGCCTATATTGTGGACGCTCTGCACGAATACAAACAACCCATTGTTGTCTACATTCCGCCGTTCGCCGAACTCAGAGGCGGCGCGTGGGCTGTGCTCGGTATGTGTCACGTGTCACCTGCTCTTCCCATAACTGAGTGTTTATGTTTCAGACGCGACCATAAATCCGCGACACATGAAGATGTTCGCCGATCCGGACGGCAGAGGCGGCGTTCTGGAGCCCGAGGGAACCGTCGAGATTCGGTTCCGCGCCAAAGACTTGGTGAAGACAATGCATCGCTGCGACAACGGCTGCAAAGACCTCTTGAGTGAGTTTTTCACGATTTTGTTTCCGTTTTCACATCTGTTTTGCACTCAAAGAGCAAATAAACGAAAGCAATTCCGCGGACGAGAAGAAGCGATTGGAGCGCGAATTGGCGGACAGGGAGTCGTCGCTGATGGGAATGTACCATCAGGTGGCGCTTTCCTTCGCCGATCTTCACGACACGCCGAACCGAATGTACGAAAAGGGATGCATTACTGACGTTGTCTTGTGGCACAAATCGCGGCTTTACTTCTACTGGCATTTGCGGCGCGCACTCAACGAGAACCGCGTTATCGACGAAATCCAAGCCATTCGAACCGAATGTACGAAAAGGGATGCATTACTGACGTTGTCTTGTGGCACAAATCGCGGCTTTACTTCTACTGGCATTTGCGGCGCGCACTCAACGAGAACCGCGTTATCGACGAAATCCAAGCCATTGTGCAGAACAAGAATGAATTGGAGGCCAAGTCTATGATTAGGCGTTGGTTTATAGAGCACTGCGGACAACACAACGTACGGACAACTGACCTGTTCTTCGCTTTCTGACATCTCATTCTCATTACAGCAACACTTATGGGACGACAACCGAGCGGTCGCCGAATGGCTGTCCACTCAACTCGAGACCACGTCTTCGACTGTCATTGAGAACATTCGCTGCATTCAAAGAGATGCGCTCACTCAACAGATCCAGGGGTGAGTCCTGTCGGCAATTGTGTGCACTTCTTACACGCCTTCTCCCCACAGCTTCTATACGGACTTCCCTTCGGCCACTTTCGACTCTTTGGTGCAATTGATTCACTCGGGAATGACTCGTCAGCAGAGGACAGACCTTTTGGCCACTTTGGTCTCTCTCGACGCTCAGACTCGAACCGAATGTACGAAAAGGGATGCATTACTGACGTTGTCTTGTGGCACAAATCGCGGCTTTACTTCTACTGGCATTTGCGGCGCGCACTCAACGAGAACCGCGTTATCGACGAAATCCAAGCCATCGTTCAGAACAAGAACGAATTGGAGGCCAAGTCTATGATCAGACGGTGGTTTATAGAGCACTGCGGACAACACAACGTACGGACAACTGACCTGTTCTTCACTTTCTCACATCTCATTCTCATTACAGCAACACTTATGGGACGACAACCGAGCGGTCGCCGAATGGCTGTCCACTCAACTCGAGACCACTTCTTCGACTGTCATTGAGAACATCCGCTGCATTCAAAGAGATGCGCTCACTCAACAGATCCAGGGGTGAGTCCTGTCCACAATTGTGTTCTCTTCTCACACCACGTCTTCCCACAGCTTCTATACGGACTTCCCTTCGGCCACTTTCGACTCTTTGGTGCAATTGATTCACTCGGGAATGACTCGTCAGCAGAGGACAGACCTTTTGGCCACTTTGGTCTCTCTCGACGCTCAGACCCCGAAGTCTCCCCAAATGACCGCTTCTTCGGCCGACAGCAGCGAAAGCGTCGACATTAAGAGCGAAGAAACGGTTCTCAAAGAGGAAGAAATCTAAATCTATTTTTTATACAATATTTAGTGAAATAATTGTTGAGTTTTTTATATTTTTAAAATACATTCCATTAATAAATGTCTTTAAAAGAGATTGCGTTTAAATAACCGTTTATTTCATAATTAAAACAATGATTTTATATCTTTAAATAAATTTTCAACAAATCGTATAAAAATCAGTTATAAATACAATTAATTAATTAATTAAATAGAATTTGTATTAAATCTCGACTCGAAAACACTTTTCCGGTGTTTCTCTTCAAAAACAAAACCAATTTGTGTTTCAATTCGTCGACACTTTTCGGCAAATCTCTGTCTATCAATCGCCAACTCTTCCCACTGTCCGCGTCGGGCCTTTCGTGAGGCGAAGTCCCAAACGCACAGCACTTTCACCGATGGCTTCGAAGCCGTGAAACGCACAACAGAAGAGTCGTGTTCTTCGGCCGAGACGTTGCAGTGGTTGTGATTCCACGTCTCGTTAGCTCTTCGGACGCTGTCGTCGATTGCGAGCATTTCTTCCATTTCTTGAGCCGTTCGTTGACAACAATCCGTTTCATCAGAAGATAATTCTTCGCTCTTTTGTGGACCACTTTTGGGTTCAGTTTTGGCCCAAAAATAGTCGACTAAAAGGCTTTCGCACATCACTTGCAAATCAGAGCTCAACTCAAAGCAAAGGATCTCCGAATTGGCGTCCATTTCGTCGTTGCTTTCGGTCTCGTATTCGGTGTCGGACTCCGTGTCCAACAGAAACGAAATCAACTTATTTTGAGACATAAAACACTTTTTGGGCGAAGAGTCGGCCGAAAGCGG